ATGCGTATTGTGGTGTAAAAGATTTCCGATTGCCAAATTTTGAATCCATCGATGAAGCCAGCTAATAATTCGGTTCTCATGATTCCTTGCGTTGATTACTTCAGATGAGAGTGTAGGTGTTAGAGAGGAAATTTGAATTAGTGCAGTATCTGCATCGTCCGGGCTTCGGCTGAACATATACAATTGTTCTAACTGACCTAATCGGAAATAGTTCTCAGCTACCTCCCCTAATAAAATATGTATGGTAATTTTGCTTAACGACGTGTTTGGGGTATCATCCAAACCATTTGTGGAAAAGTTCGACAATTTGGGTTGTCGTTCATTAATGGTATTTGTTTATTAGGGTCTCCAAGGTTCCACGTGGATGTCCTATATACTGATGAATACAACGTATTGGTGATTTTTGTTGACTGCCGATGAAGTTGAAAGAGATGTTCATCCGACTTTTTTTGTCCAGTGCAGCAGCAAGTGATTTCAATTGGAATTGATTAGTGGCTGTTGATCCTAACAACGGATGAGTCCCATTGACCCATTTCCAGACCGAATTGTTGAAGTTGGGAGACACCCTAGTGTCCTGGTTGACGATGAAATTACGTGGATCTTCCAACGTCGTGCCTCAGTCTCCGTCCATGGAAACTGACAGCAATCCTGCGAATACCCCTAGTATCAGAATTGGTTGACTTGAACATCCTTGACATTCAAGTCCCTTCCTGGATTGCCGAATACCCCTAGCATCCGACTCCTTGACACTCCCTGTGCCGGTTGTAAACATATCTGTAGCATTTGTAGTAGTCACTCCAGGCTTACAGAAAGCCAGTAATGATCGTAATCTGCAACCTTGCGTAGTCAAACGAACGTCTGCTTCGTGCGTTTGTTTACATGGAGCACAAAACATGGAACCGTTTCATGGTAACTCCAATACACATCTCGAGTACTGGATTCTGAGCTTGTGGCATTGGTTATATCATGATGGGCATATACTCTTATCTTACTGACCTGGGAAAATAGTTATCGGCGCTTCCTCAAGCGCAATTTCTTTAGCATTCCGTGTCCTACACTGTACCAAAACAACATCCTCTGCTTGAATGAATTCTCAGGCCATTCAAACCGAAACCGCTTTTTCGAATGATAGCTGGAACCGGATGACGGTTGTTTTGTAATGGGATGATGCTCTCGAATTCAGGATGAACATTGATACATTTCCCAAAATGAAATGCATATGGTATTGGTTCAGCCCCATATCGCAAATCATCCAAAACCATGATGTAAATAATTCTATCCAACGCCATTTGCAGACCTGAGCTGACAAACGAGATGGAAACATAGTCATTGCTATCAAAGGTGGTACGAACATTGATAAAAGCGTGGAAACCGAAGATTGTCTTATTAAGAGCATTTCCAAGTCATCATATTCTTAAATTGTTTCCCTCTGAGCGCTGTATTTTTTACAGTCAATTTTCAAATAAGGACGACTTCCCCTACCCGACGGTTATGATGGTTTGCATGGGCATGCCTTGAGTTGCTAGAAATCATCGATAAAAGTCATTGTTTACAAAGGCTGTTACGCCCTAATTCCAGCTCTATCTTGATTTAGACTTTCTAGCCAAAATCTTCCGTGGCTTTTAAAACTCTTATCATTTCAGCTTTTCCTTGTCGTTTTCGCGCGCAAACAACCTGCTGGATTTGTTATGTAAACATGACCAGCTGCAAGCTCGAGAACAAAGGGTTCAAAAGCTAAGAGGAAGAGTAGACAATACGGGGGCGAAAACGAACCACTTTTCTGTAAAACGCGAACCAGCTCGTGATTGGCCGATTTGAAGTGCGTAAGATAGAGATACACACTTATTTTGCTCGATAAAATCTCCAACAGCTGATTACCTCGGTATTTACTTTTGCTGATATCTCTGCAAAATATCTGTTTGTTAGCTGATATCTCAGCAAAATGTTATTTGTTAGCTGAGTCTCGGGAATTGTTTGACTGAATCTCAGCTAAATAAATTGCAAAAATACTCGGCTGTTGGGATCTTGGTGAAAAAAAAAATGAAAATGTGTAGAGGTAGATATTGATAGAGATAGAGATAGAGATTAAATAGCAAGAAGCCAGTTGTTTCCTCTTCCTCTTAGTTCAAATGTAAACATATTATGGAAGAGGATTTGACCCACTGACGTTTATATAAGGTCCGGGCCAACAGGCAGCTTGCTGGTGTTAGAAGCAAAAATATTGTAAACATTGCTGAGCACACTCTACCACAGGATTGGAACTTCGGATCAGAAAGTGGCTCCACTTGTCATTTGCGAACACTAGCGAACCTAGCGGTAGAAGGCATCTTTTGCCTGCAGTTCTTGGGTGGGACGTGCTGTCAAATCAGCCTACTGATCATTCTTGTATGAAATTGGTTCCAAAAGTAAACAAACCCTGTACACGCTAACTTGAAAGTACTCATTAATGAGTAAAAAAAAAGACCCATTTTGAAGAAAAGTGGCTTAACTCATTAATGATTAAACAATTTTACCCATTAATGAGTATCTGTTACCCATTAATGATTAACAATTACTCATTAATGGGTAACAGATACTCATTAATGGGTAAAAAATTTACTCATTTAATGAGTTAAGCCACTTTTCTTCAAAATGGGTCTTTTTCAACCATTAATGGGTACTTTAAAGTTAGCGTGTAGTTTTCTTATGGCTTGTTTACGTTTGGAACCAGTTATGCAAGGTAGGCGACGATTGTTCGTATTTGACAGCCACCTCCCCCCCTTGGTTAAGATAGGCAGCATTATAGTTGCTATATTCATAGTCTGGCGGATAGAATATCGATCTATCAAAAAGCGGAACCAATTCAATATATTTGAACCAACAATTGAAAAGGTACTATCAAATTTATAAACAAAACGTTGATTATTCTTTTCACGCCAATCGAACGCAAATTACTGGCATCATCGGATAAGGGAAATTTTCCCCAACCCAAAGATGGTGTCAGTTTACGTAAGCGAGCCTTGAGTCACGAGAAAAGGGTTTCCAAAGTTTTGATTGCAATAGCAGACGTGCTCTTTTTTGTTGTTGGTCATGATTTGCTCGATTGGTTCCGCTATTCGACAGCTCAATTGGTTCCCGAGATTCTATCCGCCAGACTATAAATATAGCGACTATAGGTAGCATGCTATTATAGTGTGCGTGTACATAGAAAGCCCGTGTGGAACGCTACCACAACACATCGCTTGTTGAGCAGAAAAACGAACCACTTTTTGATTCACCGATTTTTTTGCACTTCCGCTTCTGTTCTGTAACTCTATTATAACATTCCATACTGCGAACAGTGAGATTCACATCACTTCCAACAGTTGTTTCGTGTAAAAAGATAAACATTGCAATGAAATACGAACACCACTAAACATTTGCACATTTCACTAACACTTATAAGCCTGTTGGCACGGACCTTATATAAATGGCATTGAATTTGACCTGGGACGGGACTTGGCAATCGGGTAGCGATTTAGAGCGAATTTGCTGTTAAATCCGAACTAGTTGCTGATTGGTCGATTTGGCAGTAGCAATCGTGGAATAAACAGGACAGAGGGATCACAGCAATCTGACTGGCAGTGATGCCGGAATGCATGTTGACGTCAATGGTGTTGTTAGTTCATCATCATCATCATCATCATCATCATCATCATCAATTGTTTACATTTGCAAAAGGAAAGTTGAACAATTGAGTGCACTGCGTGTTTTAAACGATGAATATTGTTGTCAGTTTATGCTTGTTTTTGTTGTGATGAGCAACTGATATAAAAGGAGCTAAACTGCGGTAGAAACTCCGAATCAAACCCAAATTTAAACATAAAAAAAAACATTCTGCAATCCTGGCATCATTACTCAACTCCATCAAACACCACGCACAAATATTCGAAGGGCTTTCATCAAGATCATTAAGAAGAGTGAGAAGCTCGATTGTCAAGTCCCGTCCCGGGATTTGACCAGCTGGTTTGCAACAAAGTAGTCAAAAGTAAACTTCAGCAGAAATGTCATGGAAACCAAGCGTTGTATATGTTCCAAGGTGGGATAAGTGAGAGCGAATAAATCATCCAAAATATCCTTCGAAAGCCACCGGTCGCCTGAGACGAAAAATATTTATAAACATCTTTTTTTGCTCCCGGCCTCTGCTCTGATGGGTTAAATATGTATGAAATAGGAGTCACCTCCCTGGCACCGGTTGCAGTTTCTTATTGAACACAGGTGTAATAGATTTTTCTAAAATACACAGGGCAGTTTTCTAATGACACATTCTACCAATATGTATCCACGTTTTTGCAAGTCTTTTTGGCAGTTTTTGTACTGTAGCTGAAAAATAATGAAGAGTAACCCTCAAATATTATTCCAATTTTGGAAAGTGTGATCAGTTAGTCAGTTATCTTTATAAGGAGACTTTCAGCCCAACGCTGGTGACAAACTTCCTATAAGAATACCTCAAGAGTTTATGATTTGAGTAGCTCAAAATGATTTGATGAGCGACTACGTTGCGACTACAACGACTACAACTATTTACCAAAATTGTTTAGGCTATTCAAATCAGAAACTCTTGATAGGAAATTTAACGCATTTTCCAAATCTCCAATAATATTTATGGATCACCTTTATTTTTTAAAGTTACAGTACAAAAACTGCCAAAAACTGTTTAAACGAAACGTCACGCAGAATGTGTCTAATGATTCTTGTTTCATTCACATCCGCCAGCCCTAACTCTGATTTTTTTCATAAGTTCCAATTGGCGTCTGTTTTCACTGTAAAAATCGATAGTCAAAATACCACAGCTACAAATTTTAAGCAAAACATCCCTCAAATCGAAGGATTGATCCAACGACTTCTCACTTGAATAGCCTTAATTTCATCAATCTCTTTCAATCACTCGAACTCCACCTGTAGAACGCGACATCGACATCTGTCCCAGTAACACGATAAATCCGATTCGGACAGTTTCTACCAACTGAAAGCCCTGCGAAAAAGAAGTATGTATTTATTTCCATCAACATGGTTGCCATAAAAACAGAAACTATATTTAGATTGTATGTGCACATTAGCTATCTAATTCCCTAACGTTTAAGCTATTCTACTCACTCAGCTAGCTATCAGTACTAACATAATAAAATTGTTCCACAACAGATCTAACCATACTGCTCACCTTCCAAACCCAGATGACATCCCTTCTTAGAAAATAAACCTCTTCAGCACGAAATGATACAACACAAACAGCACCACAAGCAGCAGAAACCATCTGAACCAGTACAGCTGCCTTATCTTCCTCCGGGCCTTCTCCATGCTGTCCAGGTCGTCCTTCAGCACAAACTTGCGAATCCCGAGCATGTAGCGCTCGATGTACGCATCCCAGTCCATATGGGTCATATCGAAGTCAAAATCGGCCCCATCCTTCGCCCGATGGACCTTGTGCATCAACCGTCTCAGATTGTGACTCTTGAAGTCCCACTGGTGCATGGCGAAGAACTCACCCGTGTCGGCTGCCTTCTGAAAGCGTTTGGCAATCTTGGCCATGATCGGCTTCGTTCCCTGGATTCGCATCACTACGTCGAACAGGTAAGCCGGCAGAAAGTGCAGAAACAGCTCGACTATCTTGTGCATGATTCGATTGGTGCGGTACTGGAAGCCCGGATACAGCATCACGTACTTGGTTGGATTCTTAATGGCATACTTCTGGGTGATTTCGCCGTATTTGTACCACTTGATCGGGTTGATCGGACCGGAGGTGCAGTTGTATACCCGTAGCGGGTTGGACCTAGGGGAATCGGGAAAGTTGATTAAATTTTAGGAATGCTTACTTCCAGGGAGAGCACTCCTACATGGTGATGGCATTTTCCCACGCAGCCGCGATCAAGGTATTGCACACGATATCCACCGGAATGACGTCCATGACGCAGTTTTGATCGCACATGATACTACTGATGGTACCTCGTCCGATTTCCATCATGATACCTGTAATTAGAAGCGCTTAAAGTTTGCATTCGGATGCCCAAGTGTTATACATACCAGTAATTCCGTAGACGTTGTCCACCCACCCCGGGTACGGTTCCTTCAGCGCTCCGGTCACGATCGACGGTCGTACGATGCAGATCGGCAGCTGACTGCTGTACTCGGAAACCAGTTGTTCGGCAATCGACTTCGTCAACGTGTACGTATTTGGATGAGTTCCCTGTAGCTTCCCGGCCAGTGCATTGATCACATCCCCTGGCAGAATGCTCACGCACTGTATGAACGAGTCGGCATTCATCGTTGGCGGGTAGACCACTTCGTCGACTTCGCGCCTGCTCGGGTTACTGTAGGCAGTCGAGACGTGGACCACGCTCTGTGAATAGAACAGAATTTTATCATCTGAACACGACGCGCACCCCAAAGTGACACATACCTGCAAATGAAACATCTTAACGCAAAGCTCCAGCATTTGTTGCGTCCCGATGGCATTCAACACGGCAGCTTCCTTCAAGCCTTCGTTGAACCGCACGGTGGCGGCCACGTGGAACACAATGTTTACATTCTCCACCAGCAGCTGCATATCTTTCTCGGATAGTCCCAGCTGGGGCATCGTGATGTCCCCTCCCACACATACCATCTTGTCTATCACGAACGGTTCCGTCTGGCGCAGTCGGTCGAATGCGGGATGTTTGATAAACTCTCGGTACCGCTGCTCACTGGTCAGACCCCGTTTCGGTCTCAACAGGATGTAGATCTTTTTGATGCCATCGCAACTGCGCAGCAGTTTCTCGATCAACACCTTCCCCAGAAAACCCGTCCCTCCCGTCACGAAAATGGTCTTCCCCTCGTAGAACGGTCGAATCGCGTACGATTCGCTGATTTCCTCCTCTACCGGAGAGATGTTCCCGTCGAGGGTGTTGTTGTTCAGATCGGATTTCACCATGGTCTTGAGCACACCATTGCTTCCGGCTGACGACAGCGAATGGAAGCGGTTGGCAATGGTCTCCACCTGGGCCAGTATGGGCAGATCCATTATGATGAGATGGGTCGATTACTCGATTTGCGCTGCTACTACGCTGCTTCAGTTCTAGATCGTGCGTGATGTGAATGTGCTATCAGATGATACGGTTCGTTAACATTTGGATTGCAGAGGTAAGGCTTGAAAGAAATAATCGTTTGCATAACATTAATGGAATATCTTTCCCAATTTATCAAAACGCATTACGATTGCGGTTTGTTTTTCCGATTTTTTAATAATGAGAATGTTTGGCACTTGGCTACTGGAAATTTGAAACATTATAAATAGAAAATGAGTTTCTTTTATTCACTAATCATTCGGACCACTCCCTCTTTTATATTAAAAGTTCGGTTAGCAAAACTAGAAAAACTTTCTTCAAGACACCATTTACATAAAACTAGTGGTTAAGGTACAAACAAGTTTATCTTCCGGCTTCGTGACCATTGTGCAGTGGACCGTTCCCAGTTGAACAACTTTCTATCTAGTCGTGATTTCAAGATAAGATTCAAAATGAAAAGGTTCAGCGACACCTGACACCTGACGAAAAAATTCTGTACTGATCTGTCCACCGTCTAATAGATCTTTTCTACTTGAGCAACTTTGTTGAAGACCTGCTACCTTGGTGCTGTTTATGTACACAAGCTTCTATGAAGACACTGCCTAGTCATAACACGTTTTCACGTAAATAATAATAAAAAAAAAACACACGTTTTGGCATTTAAGCCACCGAACCCTGGGGGCAATGAGATTAAAAAAAACGATGCCTAATTTTTCAGTTCGTTATGAGCAGTTCACTGGTAAATGAGCAAATGATCCAGATCGACCCACTTCGATGTGGCTGAAAGTTTTTACAAGTTCGAAGATCTCCATATAATTTCAGGACACTTTATTGTAGCCTCACGAAAAAAAAATTCTCAATAAATGCTTTATATATTTTTTTACTTCAAATCTGGATATTCCAAATCCGGTAGGTATCTTAATAATCTAAAGAAAATTAAATCATAATCTAATATTTCGTGATTTTTCTTTGACTGAAATTAAATATTTTTCGACGATTTATAATCAAATTTTTCTTGTGATTCTTATCTTCTCGAAAAATGTCTTAAGTCTCAGAATCTAGGTAAGTTTCCCTAGATCTTTAATTACGAATATTTAAAGAAATTGTTTAAACATTTGTCAGGCATATGTATTTATTTTCTGGAGTTTTATTAAACTTGAATGTTTGATGGTGAAACATATTATGATGATGATGGTAGCAAACAAAATCAAACTGGTTACAGTTACAGATATTAAATCCCTCTAGAGTTTACAGTTGCTTCACAGCGATATAAATGTGGAAAAGCTTAGGCATCAACCTCTTAGTTCGACTTTTTGTCCACCTAAAATATTCATTAGGGTGGGTCACCGTTATATGGAGAAACGTAAACTTGACCTCATCAAACGAGAACACCCAGCCGGCGCCGGTGGTGTAGTGGTAAGCGTGACTGCTTTCTAACACCCCAATGGGTCTGGGTTCAATCCCAGCCAAGGTCGGTGAGATTTTTCTGAGGCATAAAAATCTCTGGTCACGTCTTCGTTCGGAAGGGAAGTAAAGCCGTTGGTCCCGTGAATGGGTGCGATATCCTGCGCAGGTGTGGAAGCTGCCTTCCTGCACATTCGATTGCCGTCAATGGATGGCAATCGATGTCCGTCGGTGATTGGCACTAGATTGCGGAACAGAGACCGACGTTAAATAAAGGAATGAAGAGACGAGAACCCTTCTTTAATTCCATTTGAGGTTCCAAACAACTGTACAACATTTGAGGACAATTGTTTGTAACCCGGCTTTCCGCATTGTGTTTGAAGTTTGTATGGAAATTAGTATGGGAAAATCTACTTTTTTGCACTTTCATCCTTAGAGACCACAATTTTGCTTGAACCATTTGCCAAACAGTTGTCGATATCTTTGACATAAAAGTTATAAAGAAGAGGGCTGAGACATGAGCCTTGGGGCAGGCCCATGTAACTAATTCTGGAAGTTGTCAGTTTTCCAAGAGAAAAGTTCATTTGCTTTTCTGACAACAAATTGTACAAGAAATTATTTAAAATTCCAGAAAATCCACATCTGTGCAGATTGTCTGACAGAATTTCAATGGAAACTGAATTAAAAGCCCCCTTAATGTCCAAGAATACTGAAGCCAATTGCTCCTTGTGCGCAAAGGCCAGTTGAATATCTGTGGAAACCAGCGCTAGACAATCGTTTGTTCCTTTTTACTTTCATTGATATAAGTGAGCTGGCGGAAGGGATACAGTAAGCACCCCCACCAAGTAACATTGCAGGTTTTATCGCGGTTTTATAGCATTCTACAAGTCTAAATCATGGTCTACAGAACCCTCATAAAACCAAAATTGTTACTTGGGCACCACACCCCCCCCCCCTTGTCCAACTACGCCTGTTGGATTGAGAAAATATTTTCGATAGAGGTGGGCAAAACAGCTCATCTAGCTGAGTGGATCAAACCCATCCAGCTCACTAAAGGAAGTCGATTCTTTTGAACAGCTCTTCAGCTCACATTGAAATTATAGAAATTATGAAACAAATTCAAAATCGAAAAATTAATTTGTGGTTTTAGTGCATAAAACTGCATAAAACCGTAAAAGTAGTCTAAACCAATAAATCCGTACCTTATGGCACTACTTTTCAATGGAAAACGCTAATAACGGAACAACTGATCAACCATCGCGTAAACCAAAATGCGCGCAAAATGTGCCAACAACATATCAGTAAAAGCAAAAAATGTATGCGAGAGAGCTACATACAGATTTTATTTCTGATGTTAATTCTCCAGCAGAATTTCTCTCACTATTATCGGCTTCAACTACAGCTCATCAGCTCAGATCCGGATCCGGAGCTGAATCGTGAAGAATCGAGAGAGAAAAAATGATCCGAAGAGCTAGACGGGTCCGAGAGTTGTCAACAGCTCCCAGTGAATTATTCGAGTAGATGATTCGGATCCGGAGCTGAGCTGATAAGCTGGAGAGCTGCATTTCGCTTTTCGGTTATTTGTTTTGTGCGGATCTTCCGCTCCCCCAGAGAATGATGGGAGGAGAGGTGAGAGCACATATGCTGGAGGAATAATATCAGCAATAAGAGCTGGGTACATAAATAAATTGGATAATACCAGTAGAAAATCAACATCGCGTAGCACATGTGCAGGGAAAATGATTCGACGCAACTGACAGCCACAGCATGCTATTAAAGCTGATAATCTGACGCCAAATGCTAATTTTTCCCTGAATTGGCAATATGTCTCTCTCTCCCAAACAGCCGCTTGGAAGTTTGCTTTTACCATTGGTGCTGTCGATCTTGGTTTACGCGGTGACTATTCAATGCGTAAGTGGAGTAATGAGTCCTTTTTTGAAGAGTTCCGTTATGAATGATGGATTGAATGGTTTAGACTTGTGATATCAGTGAGCTGATGAGCTGCGGTTCCTAAAAAAATGAACCGCCGGTGATCAGCTCACTTTAGAGAATCGGGTCTATAGAACAGCTCGGGAGCGGATCGCCCATCTCTCATTTTCGACTAACACATTTGAACATACCAACTCGGCAAGATGAGCATCACCGAAGTTATTTCAGTATAGTATAGTTCAGGGTATGTAAGCCCCCCTCTCTAACTACGCTTATGAGATTGAGTAATTGTTTTTGAATAATTCATCTGACCATACCAAATCGATAATATTAGAAAATCCGAAATTATTTTTGTTTGAAATCTGACTTCCATTAGTTCACCGGCAGTGTTGACGGAAAAAGTGATTTTTGGCATATACAGCTTTCCTCCGAAGAACGCGTTTTTGTCTCAGTAGGTTTTCAACCAAGCGCTCTGATTTTCTGCGAGTGACTAGTTCTCCATTGACCCTACTCACATGCAAAAAAACAGACCTACTGGTTGAAACCCCGCCGAGAAAAAGCGGTGGGTGCAACTCAGTGGGTAACGCGTTTTTCGGGGGATAGCTGTAATTCGACACATTGATCTTTGAACAGCTATATCTTTTTTAGAGACATTATAACACCGTACTTTCTTCGGCAAAGTTTTTAGGCACTTCCTGGACTATACTTTTACATAAGATGGCTTCCAAGTAAGAAGTGCTCCGACAAAAAATAATGCGAGCGGTCGTAGAAATTTCAGGCCAGTCCCACAGGTGGATCGCGAAACAGTTTCGAATCGACAATTCGACCGTGTCCCGTGTGGTAAAATCGTTCAAGGAGACCCAGACGACCCAGCGGTGAGCTGGCAGTGGAAGAAAAGCGAAGACGACCAACCCTGTGAACGTAAGGAAGGTGAGGGATTACTTCAAGCGCAATTCGAACCTTTGGATTCGGGACGTTGCCAAGAAGGTCAATTCTTCCGTTTGGTTCATCCAGCAGACAATAAAGCGGACCGGACTTCATGTCTTCAAGGCGCCCAACTGAACCGATAAACAGAATACGGTAGCCAAATACCGCGCCAGGCAGCTGTACCGCGAGTGGATGGTGCAGTCGAAATGCATCGTTATGGACGACGAGACGTACATTAAAGCGGACGCCAAGCAGATCCCCGGCCGGGAGTTTGTCGTCGGCAAGTCCCGCCTGGATGTTCCGGAGAAGTTCCGGAAGAAGAAGGTCGATAAATTTGCCAATAAGTACTTAGTAAGCCAAATTTAGCAAGTCGTACATAACGACCGGTACCATCAATGGCCAAATATATGAAGAAGAATGCCTCCAAAAGCGCCTGCTGTCCTTCCTCCGGTCCCACGAAGGTGACACTCTGTTTTGGCCGGATCTGGCATCGTGCCATTACGCGAAACCGGTGATGCAGTGGTACGAAGCCGACGATGTTTTTTTTTGTGCCGAAGGAGGAAAATCCGCTAAACTCTTCAGAACTTCGCGCAATAGAAAAATTCTCTCCGGAAAACAGGCAAGGTCTTCAAAAACGACAAGGATTTAAAGAAAGAGTGGATGAAAGTGTGTAAGAAAGATGATGCAAGTGTTGCACATGATTTGATAGTTAGCGTTAGGTCCAAGGTGCGGGCATTTAGCCTAGAAGAGGAGGTTGAAAAAACCAACTTTGAAGAAAACATATCTAATATGTGTCCCAAGCGTTGTTTTGAAATAAAT